AGCGTTAATCGTGGAAATCTAAATCAAAGTGAAAAAGAAAAAAAAAACGTATCACGATGGTCGTTTGAAAAATACGCGGAATAAACGTGAAGGATTAAGTGCTTTCAAGTTTTACCGTGCAATGTGTGATCCTTTGTGTGCTCGAAGTTTCACGGCTCTATCGTTTTTCTTTCTCGCTTTTATCAATGCTGAAGAAATCTTGGCAATTAAAAACACTTCGACACTGTGGAAGCTTGATAAATCTCGTTAAGTAGAGGTGTTTGCGGCGATGGAATAGAGATGGATCAAAGTGAGAAACTAGACACTTCTTTACTGTCACTGGAAGCACTTTCATTTCACGGAAGAAAAATTAAAAAGCCACGAAATTCCGTACATAAGTATAAACGAAAAGCTCTTAGACCACGAATTTTTCAAACGACTCTAGCACACCAAGAAATGTTTCACGAGAAGCAAACGATCAATTGATTATATTCCTAGAAGAGCAAAAGACCTCGTTATCCAGCTTCAACTGTGTACACCTTTGCACCGTTCGCGTTTCAATTCGTAAGGATTGTCCTCGATATTAATCGGGGCATTAATTATCTCGCATCTTAAGCCTCTATAATACCACTTCCATAGATGGATTCCAAGTGGACGGTTTCCACAAAGGCAGCACCGCTGTTAAAAGGGCACTCGCTGAATTGAGCTGTCTAATTAGCGAGCGTGATCCCTCAAAGACGCCCAGAGTATGGGGATATTAAGTAATTAATATATTTGCGAAGTGTCGGTGGTCCTTATGCCTAAAGCAGCTTTACCGCGAACCAAAACTTCGCTCATTCTTTCTTTCCCCCCTTCTTTCTCTCCTGTGCTCCTCTTTGTCGAGTTTATTTCTCACGGGTGATGATCATTCTCTTGTGAATTTTAGACAGAGTAGAATTCACAGCGTCGGGTTACCGGCTCGAACGTCCCTGCTTCCGGAACCACCACCCACCGGAAGTGGCGCGCCACCGCCGATACCGCGCCGCCATTCCGCCACACCTGCGGTAAGCGAAGTTTAAATTGTCTCGCTGTTTCAATTAACGGTTGATTTCCGTTCGACCGACACGCTTTTTCACCTCGGTTTTCTTGCTCCCGCGAAACGTGCCACGTTCGCGGATATTTTTCCCGGGGAGATTTCGCGTTGCGAACTGGTTCGCGTTAGAGGTAGAACGTTCTTGCGAATGGTAGCATTTTTTGGAATTGAATCGGTGAGAGGAGGAGGAAGAAGAAGAAGGAGACAAATTTCGAGTTCAAATGTAAATTGGAATTCTTCTCACCCGTTCGATCCAAGAAAATTGTTCAGCTGTGACACTTCACCTTTAGAGTTTCTTATTTTCACGAACTGTAGAATGCTCGTAGATATTTTTATTCGTAACTGGAAATCACAAGTTTAATGAAACTCACCGAGCAGCTTTTTATCGTTTTGATCGGAAAGAATTTTAACGTTCGCGGTGATTCTTCGTTTCAGATAGAATATATCATACGGTGTCGATCAGAAGATTGGAAAACTTCATTTAGACTAACTTTAGTTAATATTCGATAACCAGTATCGCGATAAACTTGATTTCTCTCAGAAATCACGACGAAACGAAGTACAGTATATTTTAGAATAGGTAAATTTCAAAAAATACAGCTTTTCAGTCTTAGAACTTCTTTCTTTCAACGATTAATTAGAATCTTATGGTAAACCATGTGTAATTTCTCCAACGAAACACGGGCAAACTCGCCTAAATCTCGGTAGCAAAAGGTAACAGTTAGCCGCACGACGAATTAACGAAAAGCTACGGTATAATCTGTTTCTAAGCGGTCGCAGTAAATCGAGCAGAAGCAACGAGGAACGAAGCGTTCGTCGCAGAATTCGTTGCTCGAGCCAGTCCACGTAATTAGTGGACAAACGAGGGTTTAATGGATCAGTTTGAATCGGTCGGTTCTTTGCACAGACGCGTCTGGACACAGGGTCAATCGTCACTGTAGGCACACGCACACCTTCCACTCCACACACTGCACACATGGTCACACTGGGGCTCGTGGTGCTAGTCTAGTCGCAAGTATACCTTTAAAAGAGTATCTTCCACTTCTTTTTTTCGTTTTTAGAAAAATAGACAATTGTGTGTTAATTTTAATTCTTAACATAGAATGCACACATATGTTAATTTCCTTTAACAAAGAAAAAAAAACACTATGCACATTTTATGATTTTTGCTTCAGAGAAGAGAATTGTACATTAACTTTGATTATTAGAGGGTAGATGAAAGAGAGGAATAATCGAATGATCTAGCTAGCTTGCTTAAAAAGGGGAATCCTTTGACAGAGTGTCTTTCAATTGCTTCCTCAGTTACTCCTTTCTTTCTGAAAAAAGACGAATTAAATATTAATTTTACCTTCCATTATTCTCTAATCCTTCAAAAGTCCACACAGAAAAAATTCACACATTCTTCTAATTCACAACGTTCCTCCGCAGCAACGATTATTTTTCCCTCCCTTGAACACAGAAAGAGGAAAAATGTAAACTGAATCACAGGAAAAAGGGAGTACGTGTACACAGTATCTCCCTTTATTTCCCATGAAAGTTAAAAAAAATAGAAGTGAAAGGGTGCATCCTCGAGGGGATAGCAGCTCGATCGAGCAGAACAAAGGGAGCGCGGGTAGGGGAATTCTATATCGGGGAACTTGTTGATGCCACAGGTAGCTCCACCACCGATACCGCTGCGGCCGCCAGCGATCCCGAAACGAAGCAAAAACGAGAAACCGATCCCGATACAGCTTGTGACGAGGCAGGATAGCCAGCAGGTGAATCGACGAAAAGCCAGCGACCCAACGCCTCCGCCGTCGTCGTCGATCCTTGCCGCTTCCTGGTCGCACGATTCCAGCAACGAGAAGCTGATAGACCTCGGTCCCTATCGAGGCAACGTTCATCAGTCGAGCGGCAATCAGGAGTACTCGTTGGACGATCCGAGCGAGGAGAACGAATTCGTGGCGGATTTCGACAAGGCGAACTTCGAGGAGGACTGCGAGAAATCGAGCTTCGAGGAGTTGCAGAAGGCGTCGAGGGATTTGGAGAAGAGGCTGCACGAGAGGATCGTGAAGAGTGCGGAGACGAAGGTGAAAAATTGCAAGTCTGGCAGAGATGGAAGACAGAGGAAGGGAAATACGCAGAGCAATAGGTGAGTGAAGTTATGAAGAGTAATTAGGGGTTGATGGGGATGTTGTGGAAGAGTTATTGGGAGTGGTTCGTTCGAAGGGGTCATTTTTGTGGGGACGAAGTTAGGTGGAAGTCTAATTGGACGAAGTTTACGAGCTTTCGTAAAATTTTTGTGTAACGAAATACAATAATTAGCGACATAATTTCTTTTCATTTATCAGGAATTGTTGGTAAAATTGAGTTGTTCTTATTCTAATTGCAAGTTTGAAGTTATTAGGCTTGTTTAAATAGTGAGGATTTTGAAAACTTAGAATTGTAAACTTTAACTGTGAAATATGAATGAAAATAATTTTATAAATATTTCTATTTTACTGAATTTTAATATCTAACTTGTGAAGAAATTAGGTGTTCTAATCCTCACAGACGACATAGTATCTTCAACATTCATTCTTTACAAATTTCTTCGAAACATCGCCCAAAATAATTTTCCGAAAATTCGCCCAATCTGTTCCACTTTTACGCCATTACCTCTGAAAAGCCCAACGAAATTCCCCTTTAACCCGTTTCACCTCGTCATCGTGCCCGTGTCATCGTGCCGCCCTGACGAGATTGCGTTACGTTACACGTGTGCAACAACGTTTCCAAGTAAACGAAGAGAAGAAGAATCTAGGTAGAATTCTCTCCGTCGTGGAGAAGGACAATTAGCAACGATCAGTGGAAAGAAAGCGTTCGAGCGGAGAGGGTAGGGCTACGCGAGGCGTGTTTCAGGCACACGAATTAGCGGCGAGACGGTACGCTCGATTACGCTTCGCGACGGCCCTGCTAAACGAAGCGTGTGCTTCGACTCTATCTCTAGGTTCGAGCAGACGTTCCCTCGTGTCCTCGTAACTGGTCTTAATTCTCTCGTTCGCCTGGCCACGTGCGTTTTAGTGCACGAGTGGAGCGAGGGAAACGTCAGTTGCTTCGTTAAAAATTAATTACCTTTTTTTTTTTTTAATAAGAGAAACAATCCGCGAGATACTCCGCTTTTATCAGGTAAAATGTTTTATCTGTTAATTTTTAATTTTTCTAAATTTTTTTTGGAATATTTGGAGATCTCACTTTTTAACCCTTTTATTTTGAGGAGTGTTTTGGTGTTTTTGGTAATTGGAAAGTGTGCTGTATTATTGCATGATATTGGATTGTTTAATTTTGTGACTTATTGTAGTTTGAAATGGAGGAATGAATACCGTGCGTTGGTAGAATTGATTAATTCGAAAAGGATAAGAGGAAGAATATTAAATACTACGTGTAAGGATATTTTATCACACAGAATACACCACTTGAAACACGCTTTTCC